CTCGTTACGGCCCTGACAGTTAGACACGTGGACTCTAAATGTGAATTAAGAGCTTGCATTACACTTTACACTGGAGTTTGTAACGTGCTTATCCTCCTCACCTCGCTGTGGGATTCGTTAGTTAAGTTAAACAGTTGTGCCTAATTCAAAGGGGTCGCTTCGCGTCTGACACAAATGGAGCCATAGAAATAGATAGAGAATCACCCCTCCCAAGAACGTCCCCGGCCTTAAAGGTTTCCAGAGGCCCCTGCTGCGTGCCGTCTCCGCTTTGCTTTCCCTCGCCCCTCAAACGTGAAAGGTTTCCTTTCCTTCACTCCTGTCCAAAGCCGTGAAGGGTACTTGAGTCCAGTGAGAAAAGAATGGAGAGATCAGAGAAAAGGCAAATGGAGTGCTCACAGAGATAAGTTGGATCATTTGATTTTGAATAACGCAGCGTAAGGAAAAGTTCTCTTGCCGCTTATTCGAGTGCTTTCTAAGATGCGTGCCTTTTTAGACTAGGTGTCGGTGAGGTTTCTTTAGCAATCCCTTCTTTTTTACTCTTGTCATTAAATAATAGCTTAATTACCATTGTATACTCTCTGTCCTAACTGCTCTGGAAACAAATGAGACCTCTTCTTGGGGTATTTTTTTTTTTTTTTTTTCCTTCTCATTTCATCCTTTCTGTTCGAATTCCTTGATTGTCAAATAATAGAATTTTGTGCTATGAAAAGGTCTGTCCCCTGTTAATTTGCCATTGTCCCTTTGTGTTCTGCTTCGTTTCTCCTGTGCGTAACGGAATATCACCCGCACAAGGGGAAGGTTTTATTGAATTGTGCGGGGTGTGCTTTCCTTGACAGTCACGTGTTCTGTAGGGTTTTTAATTAAATCCACAGAACTCCCTCCTCTGGGGTGCATAACGGTTTCTTGAATTACACCCTTCTATTTTTGACGGTTTTCCTCATCTTAACACTTGAAGTCATTGTCATTTCCGTGACAGCGAATGTGTGTTTGTTACTCAGCAATCCTCTATTGTCTACAGGTTTTACTGATGTGCAAAATAGAAATGGACTACGGAGGGCATCATACAGGCCGATAAAGTATTTCAGAGAAATGTCCAAGTGAGTGATCTAAATACAGATCCATTTTTCATCACGTCTTACAATTCAAATAGGCATTAACAACAGATCCCTGGCCTAGTTCATTCGTAACTTCAAGGTAGGTTAACATCATCAGTGCGTAGTGGTTCCCTAAAAGTCCAGGAATCAGTCCAGGGTGAGCCCTTTGAGCCCGATTCCTTGATCTTTGAGGTCAATGGGATGTTTTTCTTGGAGTTCAGCACGAAGGAGAGCAATCAGTAATGTCACTCTAAGCAGCTCCTGAGTGAAACAAATAAAGAGATACATCTCTAAAATTTCAGCGTGGCTAGTCGGAATGATGAAACACTTCTGGCAAAACCTGGGCTCAGTAATTTATGCTCTGCTGTGAGGGAAAACGGTACGGGAGGTTCGGGGAAGTAATTTCAGGTAGTGTGAGGGCATCACAGTGTGTGGAGAAACAACATCGGTGCCTCCTTAGCGGGGTTTTTGGCTCCAAAAATTAGAGCTGCCAGCTCTGATTTTGGCTGTTGGAAAGGCTTCCGTCACCTGTAGAATTCTCTTGCGTCTCGAATGCCTGAGCAAACTTCTAAGCAACTTTTTTTTCCCCCACTGTTTCTAATCATTGCAGTAATTCTTTGTTAAAGTAACACTAGGTAAAATATCACCGAGCGCGATTCCTCTCAATCAGCCGTGGCATCTTATAGCCAGTTTTATACTTCAGAAAGACAAAGGCAATTTATAAGCAAATGGGAATTCCTTCGCAGGGATGCGTGTGTGTTTTTAAGCATTGTTTGCCTACAACTCTGTCTTGCTAAAAAAAAAATGAATTGCGTGTGTTTTTGCATGAAGAAACTGGTGGAAAAATGAGTTGCAGTGTATCAACCCACTCTTGTTTTGAATTTCTGTAAAGTACCGAAAGAAAATTTAGAGGTCATAATTTAGACCCAACAGATCCTTTTTATGCACATAAGACAATTTATAAAGTTTACACTGATATACTTTATTAAGTTTACACTGATTCAACTTAAAACAACTTACAGATTGTCTGGAGTTCTGCAGTGGAACGACTCGTGCATTCGAGACTTCTCACTTCAAGAACAGTTCAATAAAATACACCGTTTGGCAGCACATTGACCATCCATGGAACTGGAACATTAACTTCTTAACTCCTGGTGCGCTACATGCTGTTATGATGCGGGACACCGATAACCAGAAATCATACAACCGTGACAAACGATGATACACTTGCGTTCAGATTATGGGCTCTGAGAGGAAAAGCATTCCAAAGGTAAGTGCAGACTTTACGTGCGTGTACCTGACACTGCAGTACTGAAAACTGGCTCAGCCGCTGTGTAATCGATCACACATCGCCTTTGCTACGCTTGTTTTGCTTTAAAGCTGCCTACTATAGAACCAGTTGCCCGGTTTTGAGAGGGCTAAGCGGTGTTAGCGTTTCAATCCAAAGTGGAACAATTGGATGCTTGTACACCTGAGAGCCCTCAGGACTTGATTCTACAGCTGTTTCCAATTCAGACTGGAATGCACAATAGCTGTATCTGGCTTGGTCCAAGCTGCTCACTCTGGAATTTTTTTTGGTATTATTCTGTTCTGACCTAGGGTAGGTGCTCTCACTCGCTGCCCAGAGCTGTTAACAGGTTCTAGGAAAACTCTTGGTAAAAGTAGGGTTAGTACCCTACTAACCTAATAGGTAATCTAGTCTTAGATCAGACGTGATTTTGTTTTCATTTGGTCCCTTACTTGAGCCGCTTGTCTGAAACCCACTTGTTCTGCTACGAGCTTCGTTTTGGTTGCTAGAAGGCTATCGGAGCGGGTAGCTTGTTATACGCGAATGTGGGTTGCCCTCTAGTGACCGAAAAAGCTTACTTAGCGCGGCACCGTGAGAACCGCATCAGTATGAATGGTAACAGGTAAAAAATACTGAAGCGCAGGACTGCAGTATGTGAAATTCTGGTCGATTTGCAGGGAATACGTGAATGTTGTCCGGAGGAGAGCCACGAAGACGATCGGGGGATGGGAGCACCTCCCCTATGAAGACAGGCTGAGAGAGCTGGGCTTGTTTAGAGAAAAGAAGACTGCAGGGTGACCTCATTGCAGCCTTCCAGTACCTAAAGGCAGCCTACAAACAGGAGGGAAATCAACTCTTTGAAAGGGTAGGTAACAGGACAAAGGGAAATGGCTTTAAGTTCAGGGAGGGGAGATTTAGGATGGAAAATCTCCGTGTCAGGGGATGTCAGGGGAAAATTCTTTACAGAGAGAGTGGTGAGGTGCTGGAACAGGCTTCCCAGAGAGGCGGTGGATACCCCGTCCCTGGAGGTGTTCACGGCCAGGTGGGATGGGGCCCTGGGCAGCCTGGTCTGGTATTAAATGGGGAGGTTGGAGGCCCTGCCTGTGACCGGGGGGGTTGAACATTCGTGATCTTTGAGGTCCCCTCCAACCCTGGCCAGTCTGTGATTCTGTGCTTCTGTAGTTCCGTGGGTTGCCACGTTCTATATTAGTTGTAACAGTCCTGGAGCGTGGCTGTCTTCAAGTGCAAACAGAACAAATGCATTTCACCTTAGGTAATTACTTGCTTTACTAATTTCGGATTGATTGAAAGTATGTGAAGTGTATCAACGTGGTTTCCTAGAATCTGAAATCTACGGCTGAGCGATGGTGGATCCAGTTCAGAACCTCGGTGACTTCTTCGGCTGCAATATGCAGAAAGTGGTAGGTATGTGCCAGAATACAGCCCATAGAATGGGGGACTAGTTGTCTGACTCCCCCTCTTCTTGTACAGTTTCAAGGCCCTGGTACGTACAGATAGATATTAAGCCCAGAGCGTTCGGTAGTTACAGTAACCCTTCTGCATTACTGCTAGAAAGAAACAGGCTCTTTTAGAAGACATTTACCTGACCTACTTCAGAAAGCTGCGTTAAAAATTAATCTTATCACCATGTATTTTTGCCATCAATTTTACAGGACATATTTGGCAACACAGCATCTTGCAGTTTACAGTACGTGTGCATTACGGGTATCTGGGCTTTGTTTTCCTGAAAGCGATAGCAGGCCTGGAATGGTGCGTTCACACCATCTACACGGCTAGAGCAAAGGAGAACACACACGTACAATGGCAAAAGAAGTCTCAACTATCACAAGTTGCTCTCTACTACCGTTAGAATTAGCACCTTTCGCCTTTAAATGCAGCAGCAGAGCCAACCCAGACGCCCAGGTCCTGATGCACGACAATGGAGTGGACAAAAGAAGGGGCACAAACATTCAGAATTGCAATGGACCGTTCCCACCAAGCTGTCAACACGCGGAAAGACAAGCTCTCCAAACTGGCACACTGTATGTAACAAGCCAGTTCTGGAAAGCACGAGGACGAACTCTGCAAACAGTATTTTATTTACTATCAGGGGTTTGACAGCATTGCTGTTTCTGCTGTGCACTGCAGTCGAAACGTTTCTTTTATTGACACGCAGGAAACCTCCACTGCTTCAGATTGCAAGGCACCTGTCAGCTACAGCAGCGCTGTCAGTACAGAATTCCAACCAGTTGCTAGGCTGCTTGTCTTTTAGGATGTGATTTCATCTGGAAGCAGGCTCTGAAATGTGGCTCTCGGCTCACCCTGTTACACAGACGATTGGCTGCGCTCTGGTTCAGGTGTTAGCTCACATACTGCTTCTAATCAGCAGCTATTTCTGAGAATATTGAATTCATTTATTGGTGAGTGACTTACTTATAGAATTCAAATCAGAATGTTTTGAACAGAAGAAGCTGTTGTTTTTAAAACAAACAAACAAACAAACAAACAAAACACACTACAATATTGTTGCTTTTTTAATGTTTGGAATATGCTGCTGTAAACGTGTCTTCTATCAGCGGCGGAAGCTTGGTGCTTGGAGAGATACTTCTTTTACTTAGTATAAAATACTTAGGTATCATACAACTAACTATTTTGCTTAAAAAAAAAAAAAAATTCCAGTGAGGAGGGTCATACAAGCTTTATAACGAAAACCAAGGGGTAAGATTTTCTTTTCAATGAAGGATAGCACTGGGTTTGTCTCATTTCACGAAGAAATTTGGGCCTACGGACAGCCGTGGGAGATTCCTATGGGAAAAGGCTGTAAAACTACAGTTGTTAGAAGGAGAATGTTAAACAAGAATTAGAACTGTCTCGTTAATGTCTCACTAGAAAAATAATGTATTAGTTTTCACAGACTGGCAGAAAGAGTTTTCAGTTTGGGAAGATAAGGTTTGGTTTGTTTCATTTGCCGTGGTGGCACTTAGCAGCAATTGCTTTGTTCTAGCACATCCTGAGCTATTTGATACATCTTTTCTCTCCACTTCCAGTGAAAGTTTTTTATTTTGGTTACTCGTAAACAATTACGGTTACTTGGTTTGGAGTTGTGGCTTTTGGTGCTGGGCTGGCTTGCAGTTGTTTTTTTTTTTTTTTTTTTTTTGCAAAGTAATGATTTTAAAGGAAGCCTAGAGCAGTACAGTTTTTTGCTGAAGGTTATTTTAAGTGTAAGTAATTGGTAGCTAGAATAATGTTTTCTAGGACTGCCATAACATTGTGGCTTTTACATTTTTTTTTCCGGTGGGTTTGCTTAACTCTCTGCTTGTGACGTTTTGAAAAGCAAAAAATGGAAAGTCGGCCTGTTCTCTGCTGCTGAATTCCAGTTCCCCCTCTTCTTACAATGATGATGCCTTTTGATAACGGTTCTTGAAAGAGCTGAAACTGAGAAAATTTAACTTAGTAGAAATTGACAATTAGTTCTCTTCATTTCCCCCGCTAATGAATTCCAAAACTATACTAAATTAGACGATGGCATTGGGAATCAAACAATTGTAGCCGTAACGTGTCTGAGACAGCGAGGTAGGATAGGAGCCACTCCCAAATGGAGCTGTTTTGTCCTGCTGGCTCGGCTGAACAGCGTACACGGCGGTGTGACAACACCACAGAATCTCCCCCGCCTCGAGTCAGCGTCACTTCTTTTCACACAAATCAAGACCATCTCTCCATCTACCACAGCTGTTCGAGAGACCTGAGTTGGTGTGCTGTTAGCCATTAAACTAATGCAACCATTCTTAGACACTGTAAGGAAGAACAAGCTTCAGTGTCAGTTACCTTTACGCCGTGAGCGACAGTAAGCAGAGAGTCGATGTGATTTTGTTCTTGTCTCACGGTTCGTTCATCCTCAAGTGAGATACCTGGCATTAGTTTTAATGTCAAAGTACAAAGTATACTGCTACGTGAAAATTAGGTTCGGTAACGTTAAAGTCTAAGCCACGGAATTTCCAAAAAGGGGAGCTGGTTGCTGATGGCTTTCGGCAAAAGCCAAACGGAACCAAAAAACCCACCTCAGCTGTTCAGTGTTTGTAGCGCCGCTTGATGTTAAAAACAAATGGCAAATCCTGCAACTCTGAGATGACCGAATAAATAACAGGTACCGAGGCAGGAACATGAATGGAAAGAAAGCCAAGTAAAGCACTATTAATAAATGAAGCCTATTTATTATTTCAAGTGTTAATGGTAAAAAAAAGTCAGCACAGCTGTTGCATTTAAAAAAGTGAAACTACATTAAGTACTATGTTTCTAGTTCAGTAAACAGATGAACCCGATGTCCTTTAATGACATAATAGTTGAGCATTGTACAGTACATCTTATGAAGACCCGTAAATTAAAGAACTACTTTTTAAATTTAGTGATTACAAAACTTCTGCGTTCACAGCTTTAGCTTCTTTTTTCTTCCACGACCGTCAGGAGTACCATCCATTTTGCGCTTCTGTGCCTGCAAGGTAAGGTTGACAAGTAAGTTCATGTGACAGAAAAAGATCCATAAGCACCGCCTTTTGAACCCAAACAGATGGAGACGATTTAACCCGGGCAGCTTTAAAAATGAGACAAATCGCAACTGTAACGTGGCAGATACATACGCATCCCGCTCAGGATAGCGGCTGTCTTATACTCTTACAACTCCGGAAGGGCATAATTCCATAGAGGACAAAAATGTTTACAAACAAGTAAGGATATTACAAAGCTTCCCTGATTATGGAATAATACTTCTAGGCACCACTTCTGTGAGACATTTGAAGCAACACTTTTAACAACAAAAACCTAGGCAAGAAAACAGGCTATTATTTCCTTTACAAAAACAAACCTGTGTGTTTAGCTGCACTTCAGAGCACTTACTATCAAGCATATGCGCTCATTTCCCCAAATCTAGCTCTTGGAGCCCATTTCACAACTAGCCCTCTACGCAAGGAGCGTGAAAGCAGGCTCTAATGTCTAATTTCTAAGCACATCTGTAGCGTTCTCAAAGCGAACTGAGCGGTTTGCACTGCCTGCCTAGATATCCTGCTGTGGTAAACATCCATTTCTTTATGGATAAAAATTAATGACAAGACTAAACCCATCTCAAGCGTATTTTATAAAGGTAAACTCACAGCCTACCAACTCAGTGATTAAAAAACGAGGCAAGCGTATCTGTTCCAGGTGCAGCTTAGAACCAGAACTTTATTTGCCGTCGACGAGGCTAATAGCTGAGTAACTGTGTGAACTTTAAGCAGCTCTCAGTGCTGTCCTATAAGGCTTTCTGTCGGACGCTACTTTAAAATAATTTCAGATATCACAAACCCTTAGAAAAACTCACGTTTCATAAATTGTCAAGTGCTTTTTTGTGGTATAAAAACAGCACAAAAAAAAGCGCAACCGAAACCAAACCGGCACCTTTTCAAATCTTACCGAAGATGGTTTTGGTCCGCGTTTCTTCTTCTCTGCCTTTTCCTTTTCTTCCAGTTCCATGTTCTCTCTTTCAATCAGGGTGATTAAAGTATTGCATCTCCTCTGTAGCTCCTAAATAACGCAACAGAGTCACTCACTACTTTAGACAGCTACTCAGTGTAAACAGCATCACGTCAGAAGACTAGAAATACCTGTAAGTTGTACGTATTTTGTACTTGGTGCAAAACCTTGGAAGTAGAAAAAGGAATTGAACGCTTTACCATAGTCATTATCTGGCTACACGGGAGTGGGTTTGATCGCCGATGTTGGCTTTTAAACACAGCTGTATTTAATTCAAACTCACGGTGACTGTGAAACACGGCAGTAACTTGAGGTTTCAATTTCACCTCCCGTGACAATTTTAGATTACTGCCTTTACCATCTTAAACTTGTCGAAAAGTCTATAAAAATTTAATATATTGTACATATGCACACACTTACTCTCGCAGAAGCCATTCAGTAAGTCTGCTATGTAACTGCGGTGTGTCGGTGCGGTGTTCGCAGGGAAGGAGCACGTGAGATTGATACGTACCATGGCAGTTCTAGACTTGAGAAACCAGTCAAATCTGAACTGGGGGGAGTTTCGGATACACTGTCTTAATTCATCGTAGACGTTCTCTTTATCAAATCCTAGCTTGTGAAGCATGCAGATTAAAAAGCGGTCCTCCTCTTCAGTGTAATTCTTCCCTTTGTTAGTACCATACGATATTCTTAGCTGGTGGAAAGGGGCTTTGTATCTGCCAATCTAAACGAAACAAATAAGATTATACAAACGAAGAAACTGTGTAGAAGTAGCATGGAACTGTTTTCTATAAAAGCAAAATAATCCTGACAGGCAGATGAACGATACCAAGTTAGAGAACTGGATTTCTAACATCACCACGCCGTAGGAACTGTTGGTTTTCTAGCCATTGACTTTATCAATATCCTCTAAACAAGCGGGTTTAGAAAACTTTGCCAGTAATCTCGATTATCTGCGCACTGCAGACCTGACACTACGTGTGAAAATGGTTGAAATCTGCCGGTCTGGCTGGGATTCTTTCTGATCGGGATGGTAAAATCACAAGAGAAGTAAAGCGTGTGCAGCTAAACCTGAAATTATCATCACAGCTATCAGCCAAAATAGGAATTTTTAGTCTACATAAAGCAATTCAATTCAAAAGTAGAACCTGCAAAGGAATAGCGCTTCTACAGAAAAGGAAAAGGTAGCAACCGCTGATGAACAGACCAAAGACAGCAATATGGTGCCCAGCGACGTCTCCTTAACGTACTGGTAACAAAGGCTGGGTAAGTACACAGCACAACAGCTCGCCTCCTTGGCACGGGGAAATAAGGGCAGCGAGAAACACAGCAAAGATACCTTCGTATCAAGTGCTTTTTTTATGCTGATCCGTCTCTGAATTCTGGCTTCTCCTCTTTCTATCTGAGCCATGATCTTCTCTATGTCTTGAAGTTCGTTGCACCTTTCCCAGAACACAGCTGCGAGAAGAAACACCGGTTAGATCCTTTTCTTGGAATGAGGTGTTAGCCTGAACAGGCAGTAGATGTTATTTCCTTCTACCAGAACTCACTGCTAAATAAAAAAGGTTGCACCTTTACCTGATAAGCTAACTTCAATGCCTGAAATTGCGTTGCAGTATTGCAAATACTATTTTGAAGATGGTAGATTTTAAAAGAGGTGTGACACAGGCCAGAAATCTACTCTTGTTAACTAATCTTCTCAAAGCCAAAAAAAAAAAAACCAACTTAAAAGTCTTAAAACTGAAAGTGGCAAAACAGCAATATGGCTTTACGGAAGGAAGGGGGTGAGACAGCGTAAGAAAGTAGCCAAAGGCAGGAACAAAGTGTCTAAAAGACGAGTAACTGTTTAAACACATCACATCCATAAATCAGCAGCTGTGTACCACTATGTATGTGTAATGTACACATTATGTAATGTAGATGCTGAACAGTACAGCTGCGCTCCACACAAGCCGCTTCTCTGACAGGCCAGGGCTAAGGGGCCAACTGGTCCACGGCCACAAAAGCCAGTGGTTGTCATTCACTCGCAGCACGTTTACACCATCTCGTGCTTTAACAGTGTGAGGTACATAATAAAGGCATAATTATTTGAGACAGCTGCTGCTTAGTGAAAACAGCGCTTTTTGCTTAGCGCTGCCTTTCGCAAAACTGAGGAAGAAATGAAACCAGCGCTCTCCAATAGGAATATATCACAGGAGGTCTGTAACAGCTCGTGTGCAGGTCTCAGCTTTAACCACGCGGGGGCTAAACCTGCGACATTTTTTTCTCAGTAGAGCCCAACTCTATCAGCACAATGCAACGAGAGACTTAAAAGAGCCATACAGGAAGCGCACGGAAGTCGGTCAGCACGTTCACAGGCGTTTCAAACTAGGAAAGCAGCATCAGATACAGACCGGACTGTAGTTGAAAAATAAGTTACCTGAATACTCAATGACTTCCTCCGGGGTTTTTCCTTCTACTTCTCGTGCTATATTTTCAATATCGTCACGGCCCCACTTCTCATTAGCTTTGATGAACTGGTTAAAATCTCTCTTATTCCAGTTAGTAAATCCCTTTGGAGAAATTAAAAGCAAACATTGCAAGTTCAGGATTCGTCCGTTTCCACGTTTGTCTTAGCAGAATTTTTTAAAACGCCTGAGAGCAACACTTGCATCGTAGCAACAGTGTAAACTTGTGCTTTTCCTGCTGTTGGACCTTAGTAGAACGACGACACTGTAGAAACTGCCAAAGGATTGGCACTGGTTCTCTTATTGCTACTTTCAGATAATAAAAATGTTCAGCTCATAAGTTAACCAGTTTAAGAAAATCCCTCAGGAGAAGCGAGTAGTCTCTATAACGGCTTTGTTCAGCCCAAGGACCGCTCAGGTATCATCAGCCTCCTGTGTCACCTCTGGTCTCTTGCCCTCAGGATGCCTGTTGTGAGATGCTACTCGGTAAGGACGGAAACAGCACTGCTGAAGTTATCAACTGCCAAAATGGGCTAATTGCACGTAGTATTAACCTTAAAAACTGGTACAAAGTCAGCCGCACCGTGATTTCACCACAGCTCGTTTGACTGCACCAATTTTCAATAGCAACTCTTTCACTGCGCTACTACTCGAACAACAGTTTGTCTTACCCCCAGAAAATACACCGTGAAAATATAATACCCAGACAAACAGGCATTTATCTACTTGGAATCACTTCAACGCACGAGCTAATAATCACGTAGCTGCCCAGCTTATATCTTCTTAAAGAATAAAACGTTATTCATTTCTAGTCGTAGTTTAAGAAACTTGACCCTTTAGCCCACAGCACGTAGTTACACGTGAGACTGGCGAGTAAAGAACACGCTTCACATTATGTGGAAAGGAATACGTGCAGCTTTGCTGCTGGTTTGCATGGTTCCACAACAGAGAAAAGATGTCAAAGGCTGCAGTCTGTGCAAACCTGCGAAGCCAGACTCGGACACCGGATAGGTCTTAGTCATTAGGCTTAGAAATACACAGAAGGTCGATAG